GGTCGATTTACCACTCGGAAAGAAACCGATAGGTGTGCGATGGGTCTATAAAGTTAAAGCAAATCCTAAAGGTGAAGTAATCAAGCACAAAGCTTGATTAGTGACGAAAGGGTTCTTGCAACGTGAAGGTATAGATTACGAGGAGGTATTCACACCGGTGGCTAGATTGGAGACTATTCGTTTGGTTGTTGGGATTGCGCATAGAAACAATTGGGTGATTTACCAAATGGATGTAAAATCTGCGTTTTTGAATGGCCCTCTTGATGAGGAAGTTTATGTGGGGCAGCCACCCGGTTTCGTGATTAAAAATCAAGAGAGGAGGTATTACAAGCTACACAAGGCGTTGTATGATTTGAAACAAGCTCCAAGAGTTTGGAACAAACGTATAGACGACTTTCTTATTGACATTGGTTTCAAACGATGTGTATCCGAACATGGTGTTTATGTGAGATCGGATAATATTGGTGGTGTTATTATACTATGCTTGTATGTTGATGATCTCTTGATTACGGGTAGCAATGACAAGAGTATTTCAAGGTTTAAAGGGGAGCTCATGAGTGAGTTTGAGATGACGGACCTTGGTGTCATGAGATACTTTCTTGGCATAGAGTTCCACAAGTCAAAAGTGGGGCTGCTTATGCATCAAAGAAGGTATGCTCTAGATATCTTGAAAAAGTGTGAAATGGAGCATTGAAATGCTTCTAATACACCTTGTGAGGCTAGAGTTCAGCTGTCCAAAAGTGATGATGAGGATGATGTGGATCCAACACTTTACCGGAGTTTGATTGGATCGTTACAGTATTTTTGCAATACTCAACCGGACTTGGTTTTTAGTGTCTTTATTGCGAGTAGATTCATGGAGAGACCTAAGGTGTCTCATTTGGCGGCGGTCAAGAGAATCCTTAGATATGTGAAAGGTACTCTTGGTTGTGGTATTTTGTTTCCCACATCGGATATGGGTCACAAATGTACTTTACTTGGCTACACCGATTCTAATTGGTGCGGAGATAAAGATGATCGGAAATCTACGGCGGGTTACATCTTTATGTTCGGTAGTACACCAATCTCATGGTGTTCGAAGAAGGAACCGGTTGTAGCACTCTCTTCTTGTGAGGCCGAGTACATTGCAGCATCATTGAGTGCTTGCCAAGCTATGTGGTTAGTGAATCTCATGAAGGAATTGGGATGTGGTGATGATGATGCCACCATACTGTTTGTGGATAATGTTTCTGCGATAAATCTTGCGAAGAATCCGATTGCACACGGAAGGAGCAAGCATATTGAGATGCGGTTTCATTACTTGAGAGAATTAGTCGGTGATGGAAAGATTAGATTGAGCTATTGCCGAATCGAGGACCAAGTTGCGGATTTGTTGACAAAGGGTGTGACAAATGAGATGTTCAAGAGATTGTTGAAGAGTTTGAGCATGATGAATTTGGAGCAACTAAAGTGAGGTGGTGTGTTGAAAGCTGTCAAATTTTGTTTTGGAAATTTAATAGCTTTGGCCACTTTAGTTGATTTTGTTTGTTTTTTATTACTCTCTCATGTGTATACATACATTGTTGTAATTCCAATTTATAATTAATGTCAATTTAGTGATTCATCCCATATTACTCTCTTCCCTATTCTCTCTTTCTCTCCATTCATCTTCTTTCTAAGTTTCTTTTCATCATTGTTACTACCTTCAAAATTCTGATTTTATATTTTATGTTGTTCTAACACATTTATCTCACTTCAATTTTGTTTCATATAATTTTCGTTCATTTTTTTTATATATCTAAGTTCTGCCCTTATGATTAATTATCATGTTATCAAGGTTTCCCGGAAGTTATTGAGGAGTTTTTGGAACATGAACCAACGATGAAATGTGTAGCTTTCAATCGTCGTGGTACTCTGCTTGCTGGTAATTGTCACCTTCCCTTATATTTGTAAAGATTTTTCTGGTTCTGCAAATTATTTTCTACCAAACACAGACACCAAACCCAACACTCACAACACTAATACTGTTAACCAATACGAGTATATTTTATTTTCTACCAAACACAGACACAGACATAAGACACGATATTCATAGTGTTGAACTTTAATTTATTTGATCAATTAAATCAGCTGGGTGCCACGATGGAAGCTGTGTTATCTGGGATTTTGAAACGAGGGGCATTGCGAAAGAGCTTAGAGATGATGAATGTTCTTCTCCCATAACTAGTATTTGTTGGTCTAAGAGTGGTAATCGAATTCTTGCATCTGCTGTCGACAAGTCGCTGTTATTGTGGGATGTTATGAGTGGTACAAGAACAACTAGAATATTTCTGCAACAAACTCCTCTACAAGTTCGTTTTTGTCCAGGTTCATCGAATTCGTCTCTCTGCTTGGTATGTCCCGTCTCATGTACTCCGATGATTGTTGACTTGAACACCGGAAATACAACTCCTTTGAAAATTTCTGTGTTAGAGAAGTCGAATGGACTAAACCCTTCGTCCTCGCGTAACAAGTCTTCTGGTGGATCTCCCTTCACGCCTGCCGCTGCATGTTTTAACAGGTATGGCAACCTGGTTTATGTGGGGAGTGCAAAAGGGAAAATTCTTGTGATTGATGCTAAAGACGGTGAGGTGCGAGCCGTGGTTCATGTATCTGGTTCTGTAGTGAAGAATGTTGTATTCAGCAGGAATGGACAATATCTTTTAACGAACTCGTATGAGAGAATAATCAGGATCTATGAAAACCTCCTCCCTTTGAAGGATGAAATCAGAGCACTTGATGAACTGAATGAGAACCAAAATGATTTAGATGAAATTGAGAAGTTGATGGCCGTAGGATCAAAATGTTTAACATTAATCCGAGAATTTAAAGATTCAACCAGAAAGGTGCATTGGAAAGCACCTTGTTTCAGTGGTGACGGTGAGTGGGTTATTGGTGGTTCTGCTAACAAAGCAGAACACAAGATTTACGTATGGAATAGAGATGGACATCTTGCAAAAATCCTGGAAGGGCCTAACGAAACTCTTCTCGATTTGGCATGGCATCCCGTACGTCCTGTCGTTGTATCTGTTTCTGATACCGGTGTAGTTTATATCTGGGCTAAACATTACACCTTGTATTGGAGTGCTTTAGCTCCTGGTTTCACAGATATTGATCAAAACGAGGACCTTGTGGAGGAAGAAGATGAATTTGATTTCAATCCCAGACCAAAGGTAAGCGAGTCTTAGAATATCATGTAAGTTATGCGAGAATAATAATTTGAAAAAATGAATAAATTAAACGTAATCATAAATGTTAGTGTCAGTAATGACACACATTATTTAGAAGTGTCAATGCTATTTTGATCCTAAACTCTTATGGTTTCAGGTAATCGTATTAGATGATGATGAAGACGAGGAAGTTGACATCTTGACAGTGGAGAAAGATACTACTTTCAGTGACTCTGATATGTCTCAAGAAGAGTTATGTTACCTGCCAGCAACTCCCATTCCCGATCCTCCTGAACCACAGGTTCCTGAACCAATGGTTCAAGAACAACAGGTTCAGGAATTACAAATTCCTGAACCACAAACAGCTGAACCGACCCCTCTTTCAGAAACAGCTGATCCAAATGTAGATTTGATGAATCATGCCCCAACATTATATATAGATGATGCTGAGGGGACAAGGGGTAAAAGAATGCGAAAACCGTCTCAAAAGATGCTGGAGTTGCAGGAACAAAAAGCCAAGAAAGCATCAAAATCCAAAAAAAAACCTTCAAATGAAGAAAATAATGGTAATGAAAAATGGGTTTTATTGTGATAAAGTTTCTGCTAAATAATGGCAAATTGTCATTCTTTTAGTTAAGAGCAATTTTTACATAATGACTTCAACATTATATACAGATGATGCTGAAGGTGATGCGGAGGGAACACAAATTAAAAGAGGGCGAAAACCTTCTAAAAAGGATAAAGGTAAGGTTTTTATTATTACCAAATATCTGCTGAATAATGAAAATTGTTAGTATTAATTTATTTATTATAATTTCTTGTTACAAAATATTCTATTTATGAACATTTTATTTATACTCTAATATGTCTAAAAATTTGAAATATTGAATATTGTTTACAAAAGGACAAATTATTTTTTGGGTCAAATTTGGTCAAAATTAGTTTTACTCAAAGTTGTTAGGATCTCTTTAATTCAGGTAAGGAACCACAAGTTTAGCTGTATGAAGAGGCGGGAGCAATGGGGCTTTGGACTTTGATTTTGTATTTTCATTAAAGTGGAATTGCTTATAATGAAACTCGACTTATGTATTTTGTTGTACTATTATTGGACTATTATATTTAAGACTTCATATTAAGTTCCTAGATAGTTAATATAAGGGTGTTACAGTAATTTTTTTTTGTATGATTTTAATCGTAACAATATATATGTAATTTTCATTTGGTTATTCTTCTTTCTTTTAATTTGTATAAAACTGTATAAAACTAGTTTATATTTAAAATTGATCCATATAAACAATTAAACATGAGTCAACCAAAAGATATAACTTTTTGGTGTGCCCTACACTCTCTCTCTAACACTTTTTTTCTCAACGTCTCTCCCACCAACTTTTCTCAAAAATAAATAAACAAACTATCAAACACTAAACACAGCTGGATATATATATGCCGCCGGCCAATTTATCTATGACCTCCAACTACTCTCACATATTGACCTAGCATCACACCATAACAAAAAAATAAAATAAATTGACCTGGTTTATTTTTACTACTTCTCTTTTGATGCCAAAATTGGTAAATTTTTTTTGTAAAAAAAACACAAATATTTGTAAAGACTTTGACTTATAAAAAATAAAAAAAAACAACTCATTTTAGTTGGACAAGAATAAAATCTCATGAAGAAATAGTCCTAGAGAAAATAAACCATAATGAAAGAAAATTTAAATAACACGTGGAAGTGGAATAATAGCAATTCTCTTAGATATTTGCTACAAGAAATGATCATTGAATCTTCAAAATCTTTATCATCTACAAATGAAGAAATCAGCGAGCACCAATTTGCAATACCAATCTAGTCAAAGAAAAAATAATCCAAATTTTCAAGATATTACAGAAACTGATTATTCCACAAAGAGAAATTCAGGACTGAAAAGTTTCATATCTATTGTCAAAAAACTTGCTTTGATTTTTAGTAGCAAAAGCAAAAAAACAGCTTCAAATGTTGTTGGAAGTCATGATAGAAAGAATACATCAAAAGCAAGATTGATGGTATCATGTAAGTATAATCAAAAAGAAAAAGGAGTTGTTTTATTAGATTATTTGAAATGATTTTGTTCTGTTAGTTTATGGTCATTTTGATCGTGTTTGATTCTGCGGTGAAAAAAATTGATTTTGATTAGAAGATGAATATTTTTGTAGTATTCTTTATAAGTTGAGATTTTCATGTGTCTTAATTTGCAGCTTCAACTGATTTATCATCTGAAAGTGGCAACAAGAATTCATCAAAATGGAAATTTTCTTCTTCCTATGCATCATCTAGTACTACAAGTGGACAGCTTGGAGTTGGGAATTTTACTTTTGATGAAATTTTGAAGTCAACTGCGAAATTCTCGCCGGATAATCAGATTGGTGAAGGTGGATTTGGAACTGTCTATAGAGGGAAGCTTAATGATGGAACTATTGTCGCGGTGAAGCGCGCCAAGAAGGTATAATATAGCATGATGTTCATCTTTTCATGATTTTCAATCTTCTTAACTTGTTGCATTTGTGATTGTAGATGATGGAAATATGCCTTTAGTTAGATACTAAGACTCTGTTTGGATAAAATGCTTATCATATAAAATGCCTATGTTTTCATAAGCTATATTGTAGAACTTATAGAAATAAGATGAAAACAAGTTATAAGTCATGACATGTTATAAGGTGATGTTGGAAATTTTGCCTTTATTGTAATCTGTCCTTCACTCCTAGTCGCGCATTTGTCTTGGCTTGTAAGATGATGGTCATACCACATTGGCTGATCGTCCGATGTAGGACTCTTAATACCTCCCACACCCAGCACTATTAGGCTTGTTGAGTGGTCTGATAGCACAAACTGGATAATAGGTGGTTCAACCGATCTAAAACAAACATAACATCTTAGTAGTTTGAACTTAACTCAACCCTACAAAACTAGCGTGTAAGGTGAAAATTGCCTATATGAAGTTTTTCTTTCACAGGAAGCTCTGCAGAGTCACTTATATGAGTTCAAGAATGAAATATACACTTTATCAAAAATTGAGCACTTGAATCTTGTGAGGTTATATGGATATTTGGAGCATGGAGATGAGAAGCTTATTGTTGTTGAGTATGTTGCTAATGGAAATCTCAGAGAACATTTAGATGGTAAGTCCTGCATTGTACTCTCGGTAATCTTCAATGCGCATCGAGGCAATGGACTAGAAATTCGAAAAAAAATTGCATATTCTGAATTCGTAAAAGTAGTCAATTATTTATGCAGGCACTCGAGGCGATGGACTAGAAATCGGCGAGCGTCTAGACATAGCAATTGATGTAGCTCATGCAATAACTTACCTTCATATGTACACAGGTATGTCATAATGTCACATCGGGGATTCATATCGCATCTAAAATCAAATCGAGATAAAACTAGTATGATACTGACAATAACTGAATTTTGCATTGTTTAACTCGACAGATAATCCGATTATACATAGAGACATCAAAGCATCAAACATCTTAATTAGTGAGAATCTAAGGGCTAAAGTTGCAGACTTTGGTTTCGCAAGGTTATCCGAAGACCCTGGCGCAACTCATATTTCAACTCAAGTTAAAGGAACTGCTGGTTATATGGATCCTGAGTACTTGAGAACTTATCAACTCACCGAAAAGAGTGATGTTTATTCCTTCGGCGTATTGCTCGTTGAAATGATGACAGGAAGACATCCTATTGAACCGAAGAAACAAATCGACGAGAGAGTCACAATCAGATGGGTATGCATATTAAACCATCTTTTACACCAAATATAAATCACTTTACATTCGACTCACTTCCATTAAGAGTGTATGTTCGGCCTGGCTACAGGTTTTTGACAAAATCACGGTATGACATCATGATTTTGTTGAAGATCCTGAGTATAACTTTAGCCAAAGTCGTAGTAACTTATCGTGATTCTGACAATCCCACCATCAATCTGATTCAACATAATCAATTCATTCAAAATCAATTATAATCAGACATAATTTGTGTGTATGTGTGCATGCAGGCAATGAAGATGCTAAGGAAAGGGGAAGCAGTGTTTGCAATGGATCCAAGATTGAGAAGAAATCCAGCCTCCATAAAAGCCATGAAGAAGGTTTTCAAGCTAGCTTTTCAATGCCTTGCACCTTCCATACATTCAAGGCCACCTATGAAGAATTGCGCCGAGGTTCTCTGGGGAATCCGTAAAAGTTTTAAAGACGACATGACTCCTATTCCCACCTTACCTTCTCATCAATCTGAAAATTTTCCTCAAAGAGAAAAGAATAAGCATATGGTATTTGGTATCGAAGACGATGACAGCTACAAATTTACCTCCGCGCCTAATCACATTCGTTCATGAAATTTGTTTATTGTTTGAATTATTCAAATCGTATTTTTAAATTGCAGTCGTTATTATGTTGTGAACTGCTATATTGCAGAGACCTCTAAAACTGTTATATTGTGGCCACAATTATAGTTGCAGACTGCAATTTTAAACCATGGTTTAAATAGGCTATCGTGTATGCCAGTTTGGCTTATGATTGTAGTTTTTTCCGACCTTTTGATTATACCTTATTGATTGATATCAAATATTTAATAAATGAAAAAACAAAACTCTAAAATTTTTAACTGATGTTTAGAGAATGGTAAACATTGAGAAAACTTTAAGATATACAATGTAACAGCGTCTTCGAATTAAATTATCAGAAGCACGCAATCGGCGTCACAATACTAGCAAATAATATCCATTCCAACATACTCAAAAATCAAAATAAAACTAACTAAAAAAACTCACTATCATACATTTTTTTGTCTGTTAACTCTCTATTATTCAATCTTATAAGCATAAAGAACAAGGCAAAACTCAAAACTAGCAACATTAAGAGATGAATAAGAACCAACACTAGCATCATCATTATTTTCACAAGCTTCAACAGCACTACCTTCTTTTTCACTTTCAGCTTCAACCGGCCCCGGCTTAAAAATGAAAAGTCCCGGTCCCGAACCGGAACCACTAAACAACCAATCATGAACATCCCAAAAAACTTGCACAGGTTGTTTATTCACCATAACTGTTTGATTTCCTCTAAACTTCCACTGCAAATTCTTAACATGAATCAAAATGACACCATCGATGGTAATCCACATTTCGGGATCGACATTAGGTCCGCCGTTTGTTAAACTATCAACAACAATCTCGTTCTCTTTTCTCTTCTCGTCGAACTTTGCCTTTGTAGCGAAACTTTTCTTCCCGAAAATGTTTTCTTTCTTCACAAGTAATATCGCGTCGACCAGCGCAGGTCTAGATTTTGTTCTTTTGTATGCCTTTTTCTTGTAATCTCCCAATAACAAAACAACTTCCTCATCTGAAACTAACGCTACGTAGTAATCGCTACTCGGTTCAGGACCACCTGTGAATTTCGCATTACGAAGATCCCAATAAACTTCCACTTGGTTCCCTTCGACTTCGAATGTTTTGTACCCTTTTTTGCTCCAAAAGGGCCACGATTTCACGTCAATCTTGCAGCTGAATTTTGTTTCACCTCCCACGCCATCGATCGTGATGTGTAACGAATGGTTCATGAGATTTTTGCACCATAGAATTGATATATTTCTCCAAAATCCAGCTACATTGGCTTGATACACACATGTTACCGTGCTTTGCGCAACTTTGACCGGAACATGATCATCTGTTGTTTTCTCTGCTAAACTATATGATCCTTGTGTTGATACTGATTGTGATCTAAAGGCGCGAAAAGCCATTAATTTTCTTCTTCTCTAAATCATAAAAAAATATTCAAAATTTCAAATCTTTTATAGCATCAATATAAAGATTCACATTCTAATGCCATTGTTTTAAACAGAAATTTCATCTTTACACATTTTTCATCCTTTATAAGAAGAATGAAAAAAAGCAGATGTAATGTAACTCTCAATATGAATTCTTTGATGTAAAATGAATGAAACTATGGATAACCCTTTGAAGATGTTGTGATTTATGAGTGATATGATGAAATCTGCAATGGTGATGGTGTTAGTTTTTTTTTTTCTTTCTTTTTCAGAGGAAATTTGTTTGCATGAATATTTTGGGGGTGAGAAAGAGAAAGTTTGTATATTTTGGAGAAAAAATCTCGATCTAGAGTCTAGAAATAGAATGTGCCCGAAAGACAAGGGAGGATATGGAATGTCCTCTCAACTCTTATGATTTTAATATGTTTCTTCCAATATTACTTTAGAAGTAAGACAAAATTCAAAGTTTATCTTATAATGGACTAGCACAAACATGTTATTTTTCTATTGTGTTATATCTAATTTATCATCAATGTTTAAAACTAATAATATACATTAATAGAGTTTTGACATTTAGGAAAGAGGTTAGACTTAGACTTTTGGTATTTATTCCGAACCGACTAAAATAGCCATCGACCATTGAGTCAAAGAAAGCAAGGATTCACTTAAATTGATCGCTACACATGGGAATTATCCTACAAAAGAGTACAGAAGATAGATCGAACGACTTCCCGCATTACACACAAATAGCGGATTGTTATGACCATTCTATTATATAAAAGGCACACGCGCTAGGTTGAAGTACACAATTTTAAATTTAGATTTCATTGACTCATCTCTTTCACATATTACACATATTAATTTGAACGTTTGAGTACTAATTTTACAACCTTCTCCCCACCCCACCAACGCAGTAAAAGCTCAAGTCTGTTGTTACTCATTACAACTACCGTTCTCCGATTAATTATGATTTCATAAAAGAATAGTATAAAAATTCATTCTTAGCAATAGTTATAATATATATAGCTTAAATAAAGTATCATAAAACTACCTCTAATATGCATGATGATAATTTGTTAGACTAATCTTGTGAATATTGATAATCATTTTGAAGAGATTTCAATATCAATAATATTTTTTATATAATCTATTTTAATATAATAAAGTTTATATATAAATAGAATGCAAAAAAGTAATAAATTATGCTGCTACTCTTTTTTTGGATAAAGTTTTTTTTATTTTAAAAACTACATTCATAGACTTAGGAGATACAATGTTGTTATTCACAAGTCTTTGAATTCTCTATAAAAAATCACCTGCTTTTAGTGTTAGAAAACAAAAAATGTAAAAGACAAATGGTATGAAAGCATGTTGATTGTCGGAACACGCTTTCTCATGTTTGACCACTTTACTTGAGGCAGCTTTGAGAGTTGCATGTCCTATAGTATAACCACCAGTCTTTAGTCCCACTAGTGGATAAATTCAAGTCAAGTCCACACAAAAATGTTTCCCTCCTACCCAACCATACGCCATAACATATGTTGGACTAAGTGTCGATCTCTCTTCATGTGGGTCTGTCAAGAAATTCACAAGCGTCTCTTTATTCAGAGATACTCTTGCCCATCAAAATATATTAAACATGACATCCCTAAAAAGTTCATGTCGATATTTAAAGACTGGAAGCTCCCTACAATGAATCATGTGTTCTCCATATGTATCTAAACACGCCTTACGACAAATAGGGCAAACCTCATCAATTGGAAATAAAGAAATCATAAGGCGGTATCTTAAGATAGTATGGTACTCCACCGGTGACATATGTTCACCACTACAAATATACTCTTTTTACCTCAGGCGCAAAGGGAATTTTACCTCAGTTAGACAAGCGAGGTAACGAAGGGCAACATGAACTTGCCACTTTACCCTTTGGTTTCTGAATAACCGGTGAAATAGTTGAAATGGTTATTAGTTTGATCCCCAACAATATTTTTTATTATTTTCAAAACTATGTTGCGCATGTTGTAACACCCCAATTTTAGTATATTTATTTTTAATTAAATTAAAATTAATTTTATTTGATTATTGATGTATTTGGTGTGTTTAGTGGTTTGAGGGTTTATTAGAGAATATAGAGAATTAACGAGAATTTTGGTTATTTTAAATAATTAAAATAATAAAGAAAATAAGAAGTTGGAGAGTTTGGGTAAAAATTGAGAATAATGAATTTATGGGGTAAAAGGGTGAGAGATTAAGAAAATGTTGGGCTTAAGTGTAATAATTAAAAAATTAATATAAATTTTAAGAGAAATAGTGGAAATTAGATTTTAGTTTGACAGTGCGTGAAAATTAGAGTTTTAGAGAAAATAAGATTTGGGAGAGAAGAGCAACAAGGGTTTTGAAGAAGAAGATGAGTCATCGTCATAGAGAAAGATTGTCGGTTGGAAATATAAGATAAGGGGGGATTAGAGATGAATATGCTATGATTGATGGTATCAATATAAATTTTGTGTACTGTGATTGTGCTGATTGTTCTTCATGATAATTTTCCATGAGTATGACTGTTGTTGTTGAAAGTGATGAGTTTTGATTCCATGAACGTAATTTTGAATCTTTGAGAAATTAACAAATTAAGATGTTAGTTGGTGTGAAATAAAAAATTTCAATATGATATAATTATTGTGTGTCGAATTCTGAGCGTTTGTCTTTTTACAGAATCAAAATCGGAGGTCTGGAAGGCCTCAAATGGTGAAAAGTTAGCAGAAAAGCGCTGCAGACTGATTTGGTTCGAATCATGGGGTTACACTGTGAAATTTGATTCGAATCATAGCCTTCTAGTGGACTCTTCCTGATTGATTTGAATCATATATTACACATGATTCGAATCATGATGGCATATTTTGTTAAAAAAGTTGTTTTTATCATAACTTGAGTTTCGTGAATCTGTTTGAGGTGCGATTTGAAGCATTAGAAAGATAAAGCTTAACAATATCTTTCTGTGATGCCCTAAGAGACTAAATTGGAATTTAAGGGCATACATAAATTGTTTTCCTTAAGCTGTAATATTACGTGATGATTAATGATGATGAAAGAACTTTTAATTGTAATGATAAATTAAATTGATGAATACCTCATTGAGTTTAATTGCTTTTCTCTCATTTTTGTAGGTATATAAGCAATTATATTTTGTCATTGTCTTATAGAGCATTGATTAAGCTTTCCAACACTTCCGACCGCGTGTAAAACGGAGTTACGGTTTTAAAGTTATGGTCGAAACAAGTGCTGGTCTACTGTCATGTTCGCTGTGCGAACTAGAGGCGAGCGAACTCGCCAAGAGTTTGCACTGCGAACTCAAGGCGAATAAAAATTATCCGAAAGCATGGAAAACACTGTTTTGACAGTATCTAAGGTGGCATATGTCCTCTAGGCGAACGGGAGTTCGCAGTGCGAACACGGGAATCCATTTTTGCCTATTTAAGTCACTTTTCAGCATATTTTTTAGGTTATGTTGTTGGGAAATTTTTACCCCAACTTCATCAAAAACATTCTTGAGTAGATTTAGCTTAGAAACAA